GGCTGGATTCAGAACAGCAAACTAGCATAGTGTTCTCACTTTTCCTACAGAAACATATATATAATTTATTTGTTTTATAATTTTTTTATTACACAACTTTGTTGATTACAGATCTTGATTTATTTATTTTTTAATTGGATCTTCACAGACGCAGCACATCACGGCGGTACGTCATTTCCCACAATGCACCTGGACAGGAATAAACAGAGAGCCAAGATGGCGGCGGACAGTGATGTGAGTTAGTTTCCATCTAAATGCGCATCGTTTTTATCTGCATTCTCTGTCAGTGTCACGTGTCGTGTAAATACACACAGCTATACGACATGTGTGCTTTAATGAACGTGTGTTGTTAGTGACTGGAGTCGCTGGTTTGTGTTTCAGCCCGAGTCTGAGGTGTTTGAGATCACGGACTTCACCACAGCGTCAGAATGGGAGAGGTACACAAACACACTTCTCTCCAAAACCCTCTGACCACAGGCCTCTGGGGCTTCAGAGGAGGCTTTATCAGTCTGTGTGCAGTGTTTGCCGGAGCAGCTGTCGTTAGATTCTGATGCAGCTGTTTGTTCGGTTTCCACGAACACGGACACAGACATCTGATGATTTACTGCTGCTTTCAACATGATTGTGATCAGCCACATCAATAAAGCTCCAGTTCTGTGACAGATGAGGGAAAACACACACACACACACTCACTCACTCACGCACTCGCACACACACTCACACACACACACACACACACTCACTCACGCACTCGCACACATCGCACACACACACACACTCACACTTGCGCACACACACACTCGCACACACACACTCGCACACACCACTCACACACACTCTTCTCACACACACACTCGCACACACACACTCGCACACACACACTCGCACACACACACACACTCACACTTGCGCACACACACACACACTCACACTTGCACACACACACACACACACACAGTGTTAAACTGAGCTTCTTCGAATGTGTTTATCTGACAGGTTTGTGCTTGAGTCTGTAAGGGGGTAGATCATATATTCATAGGTTTATGTCTCTAGATTCATATCTCGGGTCGAGGAGGTGCTCAACGACTGGAAGCTGATTGGCTCTGGTGTTGGGAAACCACTGGAGAAGGTCAGAAGGTCATCTGAACTACATTACCCATGATTCCACTGATGACGTGTGACGCATTCAGTGTATTTTTCAAAATTAAACTAAAGTTCAAATGAAAGCAAAACAATATATATTTAAAAGTTATTCCAAATTCAAAATAGTTTTTATTGATGTTTTTAATTGGGAATTTATATTTTTTGCTTTCATTTTCAGTTTTTTTTTTTTAACTATTTTTTGTTTTCATTTAGTTTCATTTGTAATATTTTTTTGTTTTTATTATATTTTTAATAATTATTACTATTAGGATTGCTTTAAGTTATTACAGTTTTACTTCAGTGTTGGGTTTGAGTTATTTCCAGTTAGTAATTTTAGGCCTGGTTTCACAGACAGCTTAGACGAAGCCAGGATTAGGCCACAGTTCAATTAGGACATTTAAGTAATGTTTTCTATGAATGTTCCTTAGAAAACACATCACTGGTGTGCATCTTCAGACAAAACAAAGGCACTGATGTATTTTAAGATCAAGCTTCTTTCAGTTGAAACAGCTCAGAATTATATTTTAGTCCTTGTCTGTGAAACCGGGGGCTAGTGCTTCAACTTAAACTTAAGTTTAATTGACACAGTTAATTGCCAAGGCAGCATTTGTATTTTTTATCTAGTTTTTCATCTAATATTTTATTTCAGCTGACATGTTTTTAATGGTCTTAATTAAGGCTAATGACCGTGTTGTGTTGATGCTCTCAGGGAGAACTCACCAGCGGCTCGTGGGAGGAGACCACGCAGGAGATCAGCTTCTCTGACTTCAGGTTCTCCATCACACATCACTGTCTGAAGCAGGAGTCCGCTGAGAATGAGAGCAGGGACGAGCCAGAGGAAGGTACGCGTGACCTCTGACCTGCTCGGATGACCTTTGACCTCTCCTGCGTGTGTTTGAGCGGTGTCTGTGCTTTCAGATGCGTGTCCGCTGGCAATGCAGGACCTGCTGTGCATGAACAACGACTTTCCCCCGCGAGCGCACTGCCTCGTCAGATGGTGAGGAGAGCGGCAGAGTTTAGGGCTGGCACAATAAATCCATGCATTCCTCTCGTGTTGCTCAGACAGACGCTAGCTTCTGAATGCAGTATTGAATCAAGATGCAGTAAATACACTTTTTAGTCAGTTCAGTCAAAACTGTGTTGAAACTGGGCCCCAGATCTTATAATGAAATCTAATAGCAGTACTGTAATGGAAGCATGCGTGTTCTGCACTCACGCGCACACACTCACACTCACACTCACACACACACACACACACACTCACGCGCACGCGCACACACTCACACTCTCACACTCACGCACACACACACTCACGCACACACACACTCACACACACACACACACACACACACTCTCA